CTCCACACATGAAATCATGCTTAAGTGGAAAAAGGTTCAGTAATGGTCCCACATGTTTCTGCTGCCACGTGACACCCATACTTCTCGCCCCTCGTTCTTCTTTATTTTAAGCTTAATTTCCAGCTCAGTGGGAGACTGAGTCAAGACTGGCTCCATGCCAGCGTGTGAAGTTTTCAGCCAGAAGGATGTGTGTTTAATTACATCGCAAATTCTTTCCCCTGTAATTTGTTTAGAAGACATTTTTGCTGGAGCTTTTAGAGAAATTACACTGCACATTTTCAGTATCTCACCTGAGCAGAGTGCTTTGCAGAACGATTAAACAAATAGTTTTCAACAGGAGAATGTTTAGAAAGCCGATGAGATTTAATTACGCGCGACGAACAATAAAGGAGTTGTTACTTTATGAAATTACGTTAGAGGTTTTGTGTTTCTGTGCAGAGAAACAAGTTCAGTAAGGTTTCAGGGAATGATGCTGCTGAAGAATCAGATAAAACTGTGGATGTGGTTTCTCTTTAAAAAGTCCTCTTGGGCCAAGTTTTGTTTTTGAATTACATTTTTAATATGACATCATTATCGCAGGGGACTGCACATCCAAACAGACTCCAACTCTGGCAAAGAGCATCAAATGGCAGGAATTTTCATACAAAATGAGTTTTTAAAAAAGCTGTGGTGTCATGTGACACGGGGGAGTCATTACAGAGGTGAGAAAACGAAAATGAGAAAGGAGTAAAAAACATTTCCCAGAGGCTCTGAGCGCCACACAGTCATCAAGTTCATTAAATTCAATACATTATTCCTTTTATTTTTTTATTATTACATTCACTTAAATCTTTACTTTTAAATTACTTTTTAATGAGAGCTTTCTATATTTTAATCCTTACCAGCACCGAGACCTGAATAACGTCATCTCGTTCTGTCGTTTCTCCTTATGATGAATGACAATAAAGAACTTTCAACTGAGAAGTGTTAATCCCATAATGCACGGTGCACTCACGAGTACCTGTCCAGTATGACGGATAGATGGATTGTCTGAGATTTGCTCTGAATTTCTCTTTTTTTCCTATGTTTGTCACATGCATACCCTCCAAATCAAAACATGCATATGATATTTCTTCTGGTGTTTAAGTTTGAGGTTCAAAGCCATCGCCACTGTGATTGTGCTGTAGAAACAGGTAAAGGTAGAAATGGTTCATTTACTTATTGAAGCCCAGGCTCTGGCTGCTGGGCTGGGGGTCAGCGTACACTCGTCTTTAACACCGCTCTGGGTTCTTTACTAGCTTTGTGTTAGCATGCTGTCTGTGCAGATACTTGTATTTGCAGTATAATGCAGTTATTTCATGCAGTTTGAACTTCACCATCACACTTTTGTCCTTCT